TTGCTTCTCAGTCAGCTGGGTCTAACACACACACACATGCTCTTTGATCTCACTTTAAATTCATGGCAATTAATGTCAATGATGTACTATGGTAATTTCATGACAAAAATTATACCAAATATAATCACTATAGTATTTACACAAAGATTGAGGTCACCATTTTACATAAAAAATAATTACAGCTCTAACAATTCCCTCAGAATGTTTGCATGCACCAATGGCTCTAACAATTCTGACTTAATCATAGTGGCTTCTATTTCACTTATTTAACTATAGAGAACAAACTGATGGTGACCAGAGGGAAGGTGGGTGGGGGGATGGGTAAAATAGGTGATAGGGATTAAGGAGTACACTTACTATGATGAGCACTGGCTGTTGAACAAGTGTTGAATTACTATATTGTATACATGAAACTAATATTACAATGTATGTTAACTGTAATTTAAATAAAAACTTTAAAAAATAAATTTAAACACAATTAGGTACAGTGACAATTTTCTCTATAGCATTAGCTTTGTTTATGTTGAGGGTAAGTCTGTTTTTAACTCTTTCATGTGCTTTAGATATAACACTGATTTTGCAATGCTAACATCTCCTCTCAATGTTTTGCTTGCTTTTTAGTTGATCTACTGTCTTTACAATGTCTGAAATCAGATTTAGCAATCTCATTTGGGATCAAGTTATAACACTGAATCAAGTGTTAGATGAAGTAATTCCAATTCACGGAAGGGGGAATTTCCCCACACTGGAGGTAAAACCAAAATATATCATTCAAGTTGTGAAAAATCAATTGATAAAGCAAGGGATTATTGTTAAAGATACCCGACTGAATGGATCCACAGCAAGTTATATACTTGCAAGCCACAGTGGAATCAGCTATAAGGATTTAGATGTTATTTTTGGTGTTGAACTACCAAGCGATCAGGAATTTCAAGTTGTTAAAGATGCAGTTCTTGGCTGTCTGCTTGACTTTTTACCAAAAGGTGTAAAAAAGGAAAAGATCACCCTAAAGACCATGAAAGAGGCTTATGTGCAAAAGATGGTCAAAGTCTGCAATAAGCATGATCGTTGGAGTCTCATTTCTCTTTCAAACAACACTGGAAAGAATGTAGAGCTAAAATTTGTGAATTCGCTCAGACGACAATTTGAATTTAGTGTTGATTCCTTTCAAATTGTTTTGGATCCCA